CAACAACAACAACAACATTTTGCCTTATAGTTGGAATCACTATTAGTTGGAATCAACATGATGCCATGCAAGCGGAAAATCAATTCATCACATACAGTAATACAACTAAATTTCCAATATATGCCACATGCAAGACATGGCAGGCTCTGGATGATTTTGTTGTTTCGTTTAATCAGACAATTCAGAACTCTAGCACAAGTTAATATTAGATCCTAGGCCCCAAGTCAAGCATGAAACACTTCTATTCCAAATGTGCATCTTGGGAGGTCTCCACTAGGTCAGAGCCAGGACCCTGATGTTTCTGCTTGCCAGAGTCATTGCTTTCCAAAATTTGAGAGCAGTAATATTTTTTTTTAATAGCAAGAGGCTTGAGTTATTTCAGGGTTCAAGTTGAATTTCCTAAATCAACTATCTCCTTCAACATTAAGAGCATCTCCTTTTGAGTTTTTAATTGTAACTTCTGGGATGATCTCTCTTCCCTGACCCCTCTGTGTCTTATTCACTCCACCCATCATGCAATGGCAGAGCTCTCAGAAAGAGCTTTACCAAGGGCATCGATGAGTCAGGGGTAAGATGCCAGCTGAATTCTGACTCTGAGGTAAAATGCCCAAAGGGACTTTGATTACTTACTTCCCTGGCTCCTACAGAAATATCAGGCACAATTGGAAAGCTCCTGTTTCTGGAAGAAAGGGAAAACTAGGTGCACAATGAAAGCCGGCTGAAAATGATAAGGCAGGAGCATCAATGAAGGGTTTCAATGAGGCAGAATCTATCAGCCAGATTTCTAAGTTTCACTGTGTGCTTGGGAGGAAGAGGGAGGGGTGTGAGGTAGATCACTTACTTTGAGGAATAAACAGCAGTATGCTGTTCTCTGGCTGGGCCTTTAGTTGCTTCTTCCAGGTAGAAGAAGCAGCAGTGATGGTGTAAGACATTCTGTTACACTTACCACTTACTCTGACTTGTTGGTAGTTGCTGCTGAACCAATTCTGACTCATGGCAATGCCATGTGTATAGAGTAGGACAGCTCCATAAGGTTTTCAATGCTGTGAAGTTTGGGAAGCAGATCATCAGGCCTGATTTTGACATGTATCATAAGGTTGGGAGTTCAAACTCACCAGTCGCTCCTCAGAAACGCTATAGGGTTGCTATGAGTCAAAAAGGCCTAGACAACAGTTAACAACAACAGCATATTCATACATGGGTGCACTGGTGTCACTGTAGAATTGAAGTGCTAAACACAAGAGAGAGAGACGAGGTGTCCTGCTCCTGTGAAGATTCACAGCCTTAGATACTCTATACCCGGTCAACTCCATGGCACCTAACCACCACCAACATCACTTATATGTTCTAGTGCCAGTAAAGTCTCAGAAAATCAATCTAGCCCTGGCTAATCAGTTAATACCACCAGTTTCATGGATTGAAAATAATTTTATATAACGAGCTTATAATAAATAAATACTAACATTCATAAATAATGGAGTCATGGTGTGGTTCTGTAGGATAAACACTAAAGTGCTAACCGCCAGGCCGGTGGTTTAAACCCACCTGTCACTCCTCAGAAACTCTATGCAGGGTTGCTATGAGTTGGAAATGACTCCACAGCACTTAACAACAACAATACACATAAAGGCGTAAAAAGCATGAGTATATAAGACTGGGAGTTATAAAACAACACAGTGTTACAGCTAAAATAGAACATCTCAGGAGACTTTCTTGTGAAAATAAAAATTAGCCAGGACTCAGTTTCATCAAATCAAGATTTGGAATAAATAAATATAGAATAAATAAATGTCTGACAAGAAAAATCCATCTACTCATCTTGGTTAATGTTGATAGTCTCAGTGCCTAATACTGGCTGCTTAATACTCCTGAGACCGTTTATGTTCTCTTATAATGACAAAATATTAAAGGTTGTTTTATTTTTGCATTTCAAAACAATTGTGCCCATAGTTCAAAGTTTCTCATTTTGTTAAGACTCCTGCCACCCCAAAATTGTATCATCTAATTTTAACAAAATTCAAGTCAAAATTTAAGAATTTGGGGTGTATGTATTCATTTTTTTAACTTATTTTTTTAAGTTCTACGTGTGTTCACTTATGTGATGGTATGATTGCATTTTGCCCGTAGGAAGAACATGAGGAGAGGAAGGCCAAAGGATGGGATGTTTTACATTGAATTGTGTACCCTTCAAATGTTTATTAAACCATAACCCCTTTAGCTGGTAGGAGCTCTGGTAAGCGTAGTGGTTACAAATCAGTCTGCAAAACCTTAAGGTCAGCAGTTCAAAACTACCAACTGTTCCGTGGGAGAAAGATGAGGCTTTCTGCTCTGGTAAAGATTTACAGCCTCGGAAACCCTTTACAGGGTCTCTATGAGTCGGAACCGACTCCACGGCACATAACAACAACAACAACAATAATCCCTTTACCTATGGACATAATCTAATGGAAATTAATTACCTTACATCTAATGTAATCCTCGAGATGCAATTACCTTCCATAATGTAATTTACTATAATAGAATCAATCAGTTGAAGTCATGCCAGTATAGGATGGATCATAAATCCAATTACTTCTGAGTTATATTACTAAGTAGCATCGATACGGAGACATGAGTATGCACACAGGGAGGAGAGGAGGACCCTGGGGACAGAGGCGTCTCCAGGGATTGCTGGCAGCTACTAGAAGCTGACATAGACAAGCAGCAATCTCTCCTAGAGCTACACCCTGAATTTGGACTTTCAGCTTCTAGGACATGAGAAAATAAGCATCTTTTCTTTAAAACTATCCACTTGTGGTATTTGTGTTACCGCTGCACTAGGAAACTAACACAACTTCTGAGTAAACATAGGGATCATTTAGATGTGTCACGGAGGCAAGATACAGAGGAATGCCCTGGAAGAAGGAATCTGTCCAAGAGCAGGGGACTCACTGTTTCTCTGTATGTTTATATTGCTGCAGAACCAATTGTCACAAACTCGTTGGTGTTAAGTGCCATCAAGTTGGTTCTGACTCATAGCGACCCTGTATAGAGTTTCCAAAGAGCTGCTGGTGGATTTGAACCACCACATGGTGATTCAAATTGACCTTGCGGTCTAGTGTTTATTCTACAGCACCACACGAGGAGTCCTTACCAGCTTGAAACAGCATACCTGGACTGTTTCACAGTTCTGTAGGTCAGAAGTCTGGGTGGGCAACCGAGTTCTCTGATTAAGGTCTCAGAAAACTGAAATCAACATGCCAGCAGACCTGCATTCTGATCTAGAGGCGCTCGGAAGAATCTGCTTCCAAGCTCATTGAATCATGCAAAGATTGGAAGCCTCTTACATCTTGACCTGAAGCAAGAACCATCTACCTTCTTCTTAGATCACAAAAGTCCTCTTCTGGTCCCAAGACTGCTTGTTGTTGTTATGTGCCACCAAGTCGGTCCTGACTCATAGTGACCCTATGCACAATAAAATTAAATCATGCCCGGTCCTGTGTCATCCACACAGTCTTCGCTGTGTTTGAGCCCATTTTTGCCACCACTATGTCAATCTAGTTCATTGAGGGTCTTCCTCTTTTTTGATGTCCTTCTTCAGGGACTGGGCCTTCCTGATAAGATGTCCAAAGTACTTTAAGATTGAGTCTTGCCATTTTTGCTTCTAAGGAGCATTTGGGATGTACTTCTTTCAAGACAGATTTGGTTGCTCTACCAGTCCATGGTATACCCAATATTCTTCACCAACACCATAATTCAAATTTATCAGTTCTTCTTTGGTCTTCCATAATACTAGGGCTTGGGTCAGACACACCTTAATCCTGAAAGTGCTCTTGGATTTCGAACACTTTAAAGAGGTCTTTTGCAAGAGATTTTCTCAATGCCATTTGACTTTTTGACTGCTGTTTCCATGAGCACATCCTGTTAGTACACTGCATGGAAACCTAGGTGCCACACCCAGGAAAACTGATTGTGTGTGATGGTGAAAAGGCAGACATGCAGCTTGGCCATGTTTTCTGTTTTCTGCAGCTGAGTGGGTGTCTACATTGAAGATCACACCTGTGTTTCATGTTTTATTCCAGACTCAGAAGGCAACGAGTGTGAAATCACTACTGAAGGGGTTGGTGAGTATGCCTCCTCACTACCGGTGCCTTTGCATCAGCCACCTCCTTGGATGGACTGCCTTCCTGTCCAACATGCTCTTCTTCACAGATTTCATGGGCCAGGTAACACACTTCTGTGCACATGCTCACTGACTCGCACATGAATCCCTCACTCAGCATCTACCAAGTTTCTTCTGGGTTAGTTTCTAGGGTGGCCATAATGAGAATCTAGGCAAGCGTATCTTCTAGTAGCTACCTTACAAACAGGTTCTGGAAGCAAAACACTTGCATCTTGGTCAACTAGAGGACATTATGGGGTCTACTAGTACTTGGTCAAAGTACAACAAGTAGTGAAAATGAAAGTTGTTACTGTCCTAGAAAGCTCACTAAATGAAGTACATTATGCTATGGACCTTGAAAGGTGAGTAGGAGTTGGAGAGATAAAGGAGATGGAGAAAGCATTCCAAGCAGGAATTGAAATAGCATGGGGAGATGAGTCAGAAACCTGTTGACTATAATAGAAGATGGGCAGTAGGGTTGCTTCAGTCAGGAAAGGCAGGATATTCGATGGAGAGAGGCATGGTAAAGAGTCATGGAAATGCTGTTCTGACTTGACACAGTAGTTGTTATGTCTTCCCGAAGGTTCTTGAACAGAGGTGTGATAGGATGGAAATGGCTACTGGATCCTGGCAGAATGAACTCTGTGCCTTAGGGTGGGAGTCTCAGGCAGGGACACAGTTCCTCACGAGTAGAAAAGCAGAGTGTTTGAGGAGGAATTCCCTCTGCATTGCATCAGTATCTCAACAGCCCCACATCTCTCTTTCAGATTGTGTATGGTGGCAATCCCTATGGTGCACACAACTCCACAGAGTTTCTCATCTACCAAAGAGGGGTCGAGGTTGGATGCTGGGGCTTGTGCATCAACTCCGTGTTTTCCTCATTTTATTCTTGTAAGTTTCCCAACCTTAAGGATGTCTTCTAAAGGGCTCTGGTCCAGCAAAATCTCAGATTTTATATTTCTATATATGTCTTTGGCTTTTTAAAATAGAAGGTTCTTAATCAATATATGGCGGCTAAGAAACATTACTGTTTTTCAAAGAAAGAACCACATAAAGTCTTCTTTTTTTCCTACAATCTTCATAGAGAACTCTAGTTCTCAGGGATTACTTTGTTCTTGGAATCATTAGATTTCTGACCTTAAAAAGAAATCTTTTAAGAAGGATATTGAAGTGTAATGGTGAAGGAAGGATGACAGACTGGTTCCGAACAGAGAGCCCCGAGAAACAGCAGGCCCATATTTAACTGGAACAGGAACACCAGTGGAGTTGTATGGATAAACTCATCAGATTTGCAGATGATGCAAAATAGGAGGCATGGTTAATATGGCAGATGACAAAATCAGCATGTAAGAGTACTGTTCCAGGATTGAAAATTCCAGGAATAAGATTTCAAATATGTAAAATTGAACCAGAGAGCAGTGTTGTTGTTGTTTTATGCGGTCGAGTTGGTTCCAACTGATAGTGACCCTGAATGGTGTGTTGATGTGCCGTGGAGTAGTTCCAACTCATAGCGACCCTGTATAGGGTTTCCGACTCTGTAAATCTTTACAGAAGCAGAAAGCCTCATCTTACTGCTGACCTTGCGGTTATCAGCTCAGCTTGTAATCAATCCACTATGCTACCAGAGCTCCTGTGTGCTGTTGTTGTTGTTGTTAGGTGCCAACGAGTCAGTACTGTCTCACAGCGACACTATGCACAACAGAACGAAACATTGCCCGGTCCTCGGCCAACTTCACAACTGTCCTGTGTACTAAATTGTCCATCTCAATCCCTTTGTTTTCAAGGGGGAAGACTGTGGCACTGCAGGATAATGCACTGGACTGCAAGGTCAGTTTGAACCACAAGGTTGGCATTTCAAACTCACCAGCCACTCCACAGTGTCGCTGAGTCAGAACCGACCTGACGGCACTTAACAATAATAGTCCTCATGCTTGTAAGAAGGATATTTTCCCTCCATAAATAGTTGCTATTTTAATTTTGTGTGAATTTTAACTTTTTTTTCCTTAAAGAATACCTACTAGGTAACACATTCTGTTAACCTGGTGTGAGTTCCTAAGTGAATTTCTTAGCATTTGAAAATTTAAAAACATGTGATTTTTTTTTAGGATCTTTCTAGTTAAAAGTCCTGAATGTAAAATACATTATTAATGGACTAATTTTTCAAAGTTATATTAGTGTATAACTGTATAGGTTTCCATATATTATAAATTAGCTCCAAAATATTATTTCTAAAATACCAATCAGCTCTGCTTAATAATTTTCAGGGGCTCCCTGTGGCCCAGCTGATAAAGTCAAACTCCTGAGCTTGGCATTTTCACAGTTAGGACCATGCTTTGATCTCTCCTACTCCC